CCTCTCCTCTTCTCCTCCTACTCCTCCGAAGTTCTTCTTCTTCTTCTTCTTCTTCTTCTCAGAGTAGAGATAGAGGTAACTGCAGACATTGTTTGGACACGGCATTCTGCCCTATTGGACACGACATTCAGATCGGACTTGCACTCTACATTGGGATTGAACTGTGTGCGATATTCGGAGATCAGATTTGGGTTGGACTTGGTTACCTCCGTCCCTCCCCCTTCTCTCTCGCATGTCTATGGATCTCTCCCCATGTGTGTGAGCGGAAGGGCAATCTTTCTGATGTCTTGCCCTTCCGAAGTTTTCTTCTTTTCATGTTGCTGTCCACGTGTCCTTTGATACTAAATCTTCCGCTGCGCTGCTTCACAGCCCATGATGGTAATGATATGAATGTGTTGTTGTTGATTTCTCGTTGGGTTGCTCTTTGCATCATGCACATTGACATCTTGTGAACGCTGCACCTATGCTGCTGGTTGTTGCCACTTTCGTCATTGCTAGATCCTAGGCTGTCAGTGCATTTCACTTTCTGATATGCTACAGTAGGCCTATGGGGTCCTGTTTGCAGCCTTACCCGCCCTAAGTGAAGGCGGAGGTGCCCGCCCTAAGTGAAGGCGGGCCTGGCTTTTTGCAAGAGGCCCTCGACTGTCAATTTCATATTTGGGGTCCAGGCAGTTGCGACACGCCAGTTGGTTGAAAAAAACACAGGCCGAGCACCGAAGACATTTCCACGGCCTACCGGGCCTTTCCAAAGAATGCAGGCCCTGGGCGTGATTCGCAGCCTCATACAGGGGCAGTTGGGCGCCCAACCGAACGAGGCCCAGCAGCCCAGTAGCTGCTGCATCTAGGCAGCCTCCTGGGGCCTTCCGGAAGCTTCTGGACCCAGGCCAGCCCAGCCAGGCTGCGAGAGCTGACCAGCTCTTTTCCATAAAGGACCTCATTCAGGCACTCGCATGCTGGCGGCAGCGCTGCTGGAGCTCATGCTCGTAGGCTGCTGCTAGCGCTGAGAGGCGAGGTGCAGCACGTGCAGTCGTGCAGAGGAGGAGGGCGCTGCTGAGGGCAGCGCCATAGCCCAGCCACCATAGCTGGTGGGCTTGGACWACAGTGAAGCGCAGGGGTGGTCTTCGGGTCAAAGAGAGGACAGGTGTGGGTGTAGACAGGGGATAGGTGAAGGATGATGATGATGATGATGATGATGATGATGTGAGGGCACTTACCTTGTATTGGCGATGGTCTGCATGGGCGACATCTTCAAGTACTTCGGGCTGCCGCTGATGYYAACAGTTGCATTGTCTTTTTGTAGTCTGTRGTARYTGTGTARGAGCAGGCTGGGCGCTGAGCGCCAAGTGTGAGTGTGAAGGAACTAGACTCTTGTGTTGAGGGGAGAGAGTTTGCTCTCCATGAACATTGGTTTTCAGTGCTACGAACTTCCATTGGTGTATTATTGGTGCAATGCTGCTCTCTGGACACAGTGTGACTATTTGGCTTTCAATGTGATGGTGTGAACTGGAATTGTCATCTCGCTGTTGCTTATTTTCCTTGCAAAAACTTATAATTAAAATAAAAATTAAAATTAAAATTAAAATTAAAATTAAAATTAAAATAGAAAATTAAAATAAAAATTAAAATAAAAATTAAAATAAAAATAAAAAATAAAGATAAAAATAAAAATAAAAATAAAAATAAAAAATAAAAAATAAAATAAAAATAAAAAATAAAATAAAAAATAAAAAATAAAAATAATAATAAATAATAATAAATAATAAATAATAAAAAGCAATAAAAGAAATACCCCCTCCCCATGAATCGGGGTAGTATAATAGCACGGCTTTCCATTCTACCCACACCCCCAGAATGCCTACTGAAAAAT